AGACCTGAGATAATAGACTTCTAATGAAATATGCTTTTTAAATAGTAAATGAGCTCTTGAATCAGGTACCTTTCTCACTTTGGGGGCAACTCTTCTAATTTTGGTCTTTTAAAAAAAGAGAGAAAGAAAAGGCCCTGGCCGGGTAGCTCAGTTGGTTAGAGCATTGTCCCAATATGCCAAGGTTGTGGGTTTGATCCCTGGTGAGGATTTGGAGTCAGGTCAGCCAATGAATGCATAAATAAGTGAAACAAGAAATGAGGGAGAGGGAGAGAGAGAATCAAGAACCCAGAGAACAATATAGCCCTGTTTTCGCCATAAATCAATAAATTTAACAAGAGAAAGAACAGCATACAATAATGTTACTTCATTGCTATCCCTAACCCTTTTAATTTTTTTCCTGGTTTTCATACCTGGACATCTAGTGTCAGTTCTTTGGAAAGGCCTCCTAACTTCTCTAGTTATACCTCTGAGAAGTGTCGTGATTTGAGTGTTTTTTAATAAATGTTGTGTTTATTGGAATTTATTGTGAGGAAATTGGTTGTTCTTTGAACTTAACAGTATTCATGTATCTTTTGACAGGAATTAATATTTTCAGTGGAGGGTTTTAAGCCCTATGGCTGGTACCTTACATTAGTACAGTTTGCATTTTACTCCATATTTGGCCTAATAGAACTTCAGCTTATTCAGGACAAAAGAAGAAGGTATGTGGTTTGTTTTTATTTTTTGACAGTTAAGCTCACTAGTAGTAGTTAAATTTTGTTTTTTAGGCATTACAGAGTGTAATACATGAAATAAATGTAATAAAACATCTAATACCCAAGCATTTTTAGCAGTTTAATCAACTTATTAAAAATATTAAATATGATATTTTCATTATTCATTGAAAAATGTAATCTCTAAGTATAAGTTATCAAATAAAAAATATAATTTAGGCTCAACATGTACATATATTTTGAAATGAGAAAGTATTCATATGTATATGTGTGTTTTTATAAATCTCACTGACATAGGTGTGATTACTGAAAGATTTACAGTGCTACTACATCAGAGTGGTGAATTGAAATACCAATACCTGTTTTTATAGTGGTTTTTAAAATGTATAATTAGGTTTTGTTTTGTGAGATATATTTCACTTAACATTGTCATACTTGTGATGTCCAGTGGCTGAAATTGCATTCTTAGACATCAGAGAAATTTCATAATATTCCTTTTCATAAAACCAAAGGAGCTTGTTTGACAATATGGGTTGTTTGTTTGTTTGTTTTGTTTTTGTTAATCCTCACCTGAGGATATTTTCCATTGATTTTTAGGGAGAGTGGAAGAGAGAGGAAAAGACAGAGAGAAACATTGATGTGAGAGAAACACATCGATTGGTTGCCTCCTGCATGAGCCCCACCAGGGCCGGGGCCAGGAAGGAGCCTGCAACCAAGGTACGTGCCCTTAACTGGGAGCTCAGGACCCGTTGGTCCACAGGCCGATGCTCTATCCACTGAGCCAAACCGGGTAGGGCTGACAATATGTTTTAAATGGGCCATCTGGATTGTAGAAACATCTCCATATATTTTAATGGCATATAGAACAATATACAATAAAACCTTGCCTCTGATTATAATTAGAAGGTGATAAGGAAATTGAATATGTTTTTGGTAAGTGTGGTTATTCTGACATATCAGAGCCTAATATGTAAATATTTCACATATAAGGCAGTTTAAAATATAATAAGGCGCTCTGATACTGTACTGGTATTTTGTCTTCATTGATACAAATGTTTAATCCTTCAGTGAAAATATAAAATTTTCACACCTTTTTTCTTTCATAAATGTTTTTGATGTTTGTATGGAGATAACTATAAAATTTTAAATATTTTAATTTGTATCTTCAGTATTTCTTCATGGGTCTAATTTTACCTCTCAATCTCTCTATATTGCCAATAAATTATTATAGCAGTGATATTAAAAATGTTTGAATGAGGATATTCACTATTTTCATGCTCTGAAACTCTGTAAGATTTAGCCATAGGTGATAGAATAGAAAATAATTAAATATATATGTCAAGACTAATACATAAGGAACCCTCAAGATTCATTACCTATTGCAAACTACTGGACTTCTGTTGCATCTAAAGTAAAAGAATCTAATATTGTCTCTATTAAATGAGAAATGACAAAGAAAGTGCATCTCCTCAATGTTAAATTTTAAAAAGGTACATCTCCTTCTCAGCTACCCAAATGAGATGGAGAGTGAGCCCGAAGCCATGTTTATCCCAACCATTAAACCACATGATCATACATATTTAAAGGTAGCATCATTTGTTTGATTTAAACAAAGTGAAGGGATTTGATAGAATAGATGTATAAAAAATACAGTTATGAATTGAAACCTTTTTATTCTACAGCCCATGAAAAACTTTTTATAAAAAGTCTTTGGAGGTCTGTTACAGTGAAAGTACGCCTAATCTCATATTTCTGAATTCATTTCTGAGAATAATTTATCTCTGAATTTATTTAACATGTTAAGCACCATGTCAGTCACTGGTGACTGACACTATACTTTCCATCCAAACCACGTCAGTCACTGTTGACTGACGATGTATAGTTTAAAAAAGTATATTCTTCTATTAATAAATTTTAAATAATTTGGAGATCTTAAAAGAATTTGGAGATCTTAAAAGATCTTAAATATTACTTGTTACCAAAGAAAATTTCAATGAATATTATTAAAACACGGTATACACAAAAATGGTTGTCCTGTGCAGGTTTCACAGAATGTTATAACTTGTTTTGTCAACTTTCTGGCAATATCTAATCCAAATCATGCTGCATTATCTTCGTAACATTTTTTACAATATCTTCAAACTTTAGACACTCTTCCAGTTTTTTGTTGCAGTTTGTGACAAGATATTTGAGTTATATTTATAGTACTGCTACTTGGAATTTCTTCAACCTGACAATTTTTTAGATGGACAGCTAATTTCTTCCGAAATTCTGTGATACTCATATTCTTCTTGCTAATATTTTTAAATAAAACATGAGTATTGAGAACAGCAGTATTTAGTAGGAGCTCAAAGGCTAGCTTTTTATACCGTTTCATGGGTTTTCGTAATGGATTATTATAGGCATTCATTTGATCAGATATATCAACTGCTGCTTTTCCTGCATTATAATCCACTACAATTTTTGGTTTCAAGAAGTGACCTGATCAATTTTCAACATTCACCATCTCTGACATATGTTTTGTTGAAAGAAGTAAGATGTCCCACTTATCTTTCCATTTTAAACTGGTTATTCCTTTTTTGTTCTCTGCATATACACGAAAAGCATACGTATACCCAGATCCGCAGGACAACTTAAATAATTTAATACCATATTTGTGTCATTTTTGTTTTAAATATTGCCTAAATATTATGCAGCCACGAAATGGTATCAAAGATTCATCGGTACATATAGCTTCACATGGATCATACTATTTTTTGAAATTTATTTCCATGTTATCTATTAGTTTTATTTTGCATAAACGATTGGAAACATCTGTCTCCCTATTGTCTGAAAAAATGCAGCATTCATAATAATATTTCAAATCTATTTCTTGACATATTTTTCGGGAAAGTTTGCATATATGCAAATGTAAAGATGGTAGTCTAACCAATATGAATGTAAAGATGGTAGTCTAACTAGTCCCATCCATAGAATCAACCCAAAAAATCTTTTCCCTTCATTTTTGTTTGTCACAGTCCACCTACACAAACGCTGCAAGTTTTCAACCCCTAGTTTTTGCGACACATACAAGTTCGTTTGTTTGGCGACATCCTCAAACAATTCATTAGGCAAAAACAGTTCATAAGAATTCTCTACTGTTGCACATGACTTTACATTCAGGTCTTCAATCCTAAAGCCAGACAGATAGGTGAAAGGCATAATTCTTGGTTGATTACTTCTCGGATCATGCCATTCTTCAACATCCTCCACAGACAACCTACTGAAGAGAAAGCATTTCTAAAAGAATACAGAGTACAGATTGCGATAAATACAAGAAATAAATCTGAAAATATACGTGCAGTCTTATCAAACCTTACACAGATCTCCGGCTGCCAGCATATCAGTGAAATCGGATATCGCGGGCTAAATGGAAAGGAAGACAAAACAGGCGTGGCGCTTAACGTGTTAAGTGGCACTGCTCTATAGACTTTGCTTAGTTTTTGTCTTTATTTTTATGAATACCAGTGTACTTGAAATAAGAGAGGATTTGGAGTCAGAAAACAGGGCTTTGAGTCTGCACTGCCTCTAATCAGCTCTGTCAAGAGCTCAGGGAAGTTTCTTAACTTTTCTCTGTTGCATTTTGAGAGTCAAATGTGGTACATGTGTGGTGAAGCACTTGGTAAAGTATAATACCCTAAATATACCACTTGTTATTTTGAAACAAAGATTACCTTGTAACTTTATTACTTTAAGTTACAATTTTCCCACCATATCTAAGGAAGCATGCAATTAGGATGTTTAATAAAAACAGAAACAAGGAGAATCCCACAGGCAAGATGATGAACTCGAATTTCCTCATTTGCCCATGAGAAAACAGACCTACAGGAGTGCTGGGATTTTCATGAGTTCACATAGTAAGTTGCTCTTAGAATTGGGCCTTTTGAATTTAGGTTTTTTGAGTTCCAGGCTGAGTTTTTTTTTCCTACCTGTTCTATGCTGCTTTTCTAATCATTCCTTATGATTTTTCTGGCTGGAATTTTTTATTTTCTGGCCATTGTTTGACTAACGTGATGTCTATCCTTACCGAGAGAAGCAGAGCTGTCCTTCCCTGATGGTATGCGCTGGGGATTAAACCCCACGAACAGAGTAAAAATCAGTGTTCATGTACACTGATGCATATGGGCATGCCAGATTATTTCCATGCGGACTTTAAATGTTGACCACTGTATTAGTAGTTAAGTAGGAAAAGGCCTCAAAATTGAAATGTAAGTGGAAATGATGCATTCTAATTGAATTTCTCCAGTAAATTATTTTGCTTTACATCAAGCCATATTAAAATATGAAAGAATTTTGTTCCCTTGATTTAAACATGAACACAAATCCAAAAATAAAAACTAGATCTAAGGAGGCAGCATAATGTAATTATGTGAACAGGGCTTCCTGTGTTCATCACACCAATGTACAAGAGTATTATTTTAGACCATTAAATATCTACTCAAAGTGAGCATATGCTCATGGTGATAGCTCAAAATTCTGAAGATGCCAAATTAAGAATTTTCTTTAGAAAATCCAGATAGAACTCAAAAGTAGAAGATTTGGGGTCATAACAAGAGAGATTCCTCATCAGAAAGTTGTTTGTTTTGACATTTTACAGAATACAGACAGAAATAAATCATAGTTATTATAGTAATAGTATGTCCAGAGTTTTAAACATGTAATTTTTCTAGAGAAATTCTGCTCGGGTTACTCTAGCAGAATGGGTGGATGTACTTTTCCTAATGCTAGATGGAAACATTAAGAAACAGAACAATTTAGAAGTTATAAATTAATTAAGGTGCCTTTAACCATTATAAAGGCCAAAATTTATTTTTTTTCTAAATTTAGTCAAGATAGTTTTTATACCTTATACCTACAGTAAGAATGTAAGTGGCTCTCTAATATACCACTTTTTCACACAGTTGGGAGTTCTCAATTAAGATTGATTAAATAAGGGTGAATCATTATTTTTAGTGATATTCTTTTATATAATAAATAATGTTATAACTTAACCAATATTTCTAAAAATACTAAACAGAAATAAAAAGAGTAAGTAAGTAGACATTTACACATTGTAAACACATTATCTAACAAGTATGAATTGGATTCCAAAATGAAGATTTTAAAAATTGTCTTTTACAGAATACCAGGAAAAACCTACATGATAATAGCTTTTCTTACTGTGGGTACTATGGGGTTATCAAATACTTCCTTGGGCTACCTGAATTATCCGACCCAAGTCATCTTCAAGTGCTGCAAGTTGATTCCTGTAATGCTAGGAGGAGTTTTTATTCAAGGTATAGTAATGATGTATTTTCATCCTGTTTGAAACTAGTTGGCTATGTTATAGCATCTAGCATTAGGAAAAATATTAAACTTTGGTCAATTTAATGAACATTCTAGATATTATAATAATTCTGAGTGATATCACAAAATAAGGTATTATAAAAATACTAAAACTTGTGATCTACCTTAGTATCTAAAATCAATAATTTGGGCTTAGATAGAATAAAAGTAGTATTTTGTTTTATTCTTTTAGTCTGGAGTCACTTACATTTCAAGAAATACTATATTTACATATTAAAAGTATAGCTCAGAAGCACCTAAGTACCTGGAAAGCTCCTTTTTTCAATTCTTCCAGTCCTGTACTCTTCAGGGCTCTGTCTCTACCTCCTTATACAAATGGGCTGTTCTCATGTTGAAGTAAAGCTTAACCAAAGCAAAACTGCTGTTTTACCAATTCTGCTGGCTTCTTGATTTCCTAGAGCCCCAATCAAGTTGGAAATAGCAGTAAAAAAGGAGGCAATCAAAGCAAGAAGCAGCAGAACAAGTTGTTCATATCACTGTCATGAGGAATGCTCATGTGTTGATAATCAAGTGTTTCTGTATCACCAACATCCTTATACAGCCTGACTTCATTTTATCCATTAGATGTCTTCCCAAAAATCCCTTTTCATGAAAGCATGTCTGTCAACTACTTTGCATATAATTTCAGGATAACTATTCACACAGGAAAAAACAATGATCTCAGTCCCTATTAAAAACCACATTTAATGTCATAACTAACTGAGCATGTATGATATTTCCTTACATTCCTTCCAAGAAGTTACTACATGGTTTTGTTATTTAAATGTGACTATATTAAAATAAGTTAATACTCACTAACCTAGTAGTTATTTGATTATGGTATTTGTAAACTTAAACAGTTATATAGCCTGAATAATTACTCTGGTTACTTTGTAAATTTGTAAACTAGAAGAAAATTCATAGCTGTATATTATACATAAGGAAAAGGAGGCATTAATTTTCATAAACTTTTTAAATGTTCATATTAAGTTCCATAAACTTTTTAAATGTTCATATTTACTCACTACCATAACAGATAATACAGACTTTCATATCTAAAACATCAGTGCTCGCTGATCATTTAATTTTCAGAAGATCTGTGAGTATCTCATGCCTTACCTCAGTGTTCTTCTTATATTTTTGACATTAGATATAAAAAGACTCCTGACCTCCTTGGTTAAACACATAGATCTAAAACTATGCTGAGTGGGTCTTTCCATTCTGAAGTTGACTTACATTTCTGTCACACAGGCAAGCGTTACAATGTTGCAGATGTGTCTGCTGCAGTGTGTATGAGCCTTGGCCTGATATGGTTTACACTTGCTGACAGCACAATTGCACCCAATTTCAACCTGACAGGTAAGGAATTTTTTGTCTTCCTAGATTTTGTAGGCAGTTCAGTTTACAGTAAGAATTTTTACGACTTCATAAGGATTTTAAATGATGGTGTGACATCTGTAAGTCTCATATCTAACATAAAGCTTTCAGACTTTCCAAATAAGATGTAGTAAAAATATTACAACTCTGGAAATATAGCAATTGTTTTTAGTACAAATGTATTATGATGTGACAGAAAGTTGTTTGCTCAGTCAAAATCTTCTGTTATCAAGTACAGTACATGGTAGACCGATTTCTTATGGCTGAATTGGAAATACACACATGAATTATAGGAGAATTACAGTAATTACTTTATTCCCATTTTTTTTAGGTTGAAACTTGCACATTTATTTGTCATTGTGTTAGCTAAAGAGAGAGGGATATGCTGTGCTTAAGTATTAATCTGGGTGATATAAATATGGTCATAACCTTAACATGCTTAAAGTTTCCACAGTAGTGTGCCATGTGGAATTTTGTAAATTAATTTTAGATTTTTTTCCTGAGCACAATAGGTATTATAATATGTTTAGAAATAAGTAAGAATAAAAAATGTGTTAGAATCTTGTTTTCGTTCTAACGATTTTATGGAGAAACTCTTTATATATACTTATTGTCATTCTTAACTATTTAGTTTCATAAAATTATTTTAGTATCATCCCATTTCCCTATCTCCTAACCTGATAAAAATTGTATTTAAAATATCTAAGTCTTCAAAGAAACTCTGAGAGAACAGAAAAAAAATGTATACTACATATATATTACATATAGTACAAAGTATAGTAAGTATAATTATTTGTGAGGAAAAAGTATTACATAAAGAAGAAAATAATTTACATCAGCTTCATTATTCTTACCTGTTGTTAGTGAACCTTTCTTACTAATCTGTTTAATCAGGCTAAGTTAAGGGATTTAAATTTAACCAGTTCAGCTTCTTAGAGCTGTCTGTTAAGAACCAGAAGATGTGGTAGAGCCTCTTATATCTGTTCTTTCACCTTGGATCATTCTGTGCAAGTGGGCCTTACTTCAATGAGTTTTACTCAAAGAAAACTTATTGTTGCAGGTGTTTCTCACATGGTTTAGATTTTTCAGAAACACTTCATTTTCATATCTGCAAATCTAAAAGGAAGAGTGTATTTGAAAATTGAGAAAATTGACTCTTATTTGAGGAAAAGGCAGTTTTAGACAAGGCACAGAACTTGCTATCAGTGACATGCCTTCACATTCTGGTCTGTTCACTTAGAAATATAACCATGGCTAAAGTGCCACCTCCCTTTGCGCTTTTCTTATCCAGAGGTAATGGTGATAGTGTGCCTCACACGCAGGTGGTGAGAGGACAGAATGAGATGATGAAGTAATGGGTGTGAGAGTATGTACCCTGGTGGAATGGGATGATGGTGGTGATGATAATTATGGAAAGAGGTGGTCTGTAACTTCTCACTATAACTGAATTGCTAACTCTGTCTGAGTTACATGGAAATACCTGTTAAGAGAATTAGAACCTAACCCTATTTTATAACCTACTAGAGTCCTGGTGCACGAAATTCATGCATGGGTAGGGTCCCTAGGCCTGGCCAGAGATCAGGGCCAATCTGTGGGGTGACCGGCAGGGCGATCAGGGGCACCCGTCTTGGCCGGCCTGGTGCTACCCGCTTGCTGGCCTTGCCCCCTGCCACCGCCGCCGCCAATCACCTTCCTGTGCGGGGCGACCGGGGGATCCCAGCTGGCACACACCTTGGCTGGCCTGGGGCCTACAGGCTGGGGGCATCTCCTGCATTGAGCATCTGCTCTCTGGTGGTCAATACATGTCATAGTGACCAGTCGTTCCACCGTTCATTTCGCAATTCGGAAGATTTGCATATTAGGCTTTTATTATATCGGATAATAATAAAAGCGTAATATGCAAATCAACCAGACAACCAAACAGAAGAACCACCATCCAGAGGACCTTCCAGATGACCACGCTATGACACGCACTGGCACCAGGCCAGCCGAGGCAGGTGCAATGCAATTGGTTGGGGAGCCTCGCCATCGCCCCATGATTGCCCCGCAGAGGGAGGCCCAGGCCACCCTCTGCGGGGTGATCGAAGCGGGGGCTCCATGATCGATCGCACCAAAGAAGGAGGCCTCATCCACCTTCTGTGTGGCGATCAGTCACGGAGCCCTGGCTGAGTGGGAAGGGCCTCCCTCTGCTGGGCGATCAATCGTGGAGCCCTGTGATCGATCACCTCAAAGAGGGAGGCCCAAGCTACCAGGCTGGCAGCACTGCAGCGGGTAGGCGGGGCCTCCCTCTGTGCAGCGATCGATCTGGGGGCCCTGCAATCGATTGCCCCACAGAGGGAGGCCCAGGCCACCAGCCAGTGATGCTGTGGTGGGTGTGTGGGGTCAGCCAGCGATCGCCCTGCAGAGGGAGGTCCAGGCTAGCCAAGTGATCGCACCTCACGCCTGTGCTCGCAGAGGGAGGTGACCGGTGGCGGGGGAGGGAGGGGCAGCACGACACAGATGGCAAGCAGTGGCAGCAGCAGGGGCGGGGCCAACTGCCGGCAGCCTGGGGAAGGAAAGCCCCGATAGGCCCTGATCATCGGCCAGGCCTAGGGACCCCACCTGAGGGGTCCCAAATTGCTAGAGGATGCAGGCCGAGCTGATGCACCACCTTCCCTCCCCTCCCCTCCTTCACAAATTTCATGCACTGGGCCTCTAGTTAATAATAGTTGAGCATTTATCATAATCCCTGATCTATAAGAGTATATTATCTAAAGGAGATTAGTTAACTATTAAAATGGTTAAGAGAGACATAAATAAAACTTTGAATGTATAAAGGGGTATGTCAGACTTACTTATTCCATAAATATCCACCTTTAGGATGCAATTCAAGTATTTTCTTTTTATTTCTTTTTTAATTTATCTTTATTATTGGAAGTGTTACAGATGTCTCCCTTTTTCCCCATTGACACCTTCTAGCCCCCACCTCCTGCCCCCATAAATCAAGTATTTTCATAAAATTATTTCAGCTTTTTATAATGGCCAGTGTGGCTCTGTTGGTTGGGCATTGTCCTGTGCACTGAAAACTTGCCAAGTTCGATTCCCAGTAGGAGGCAACCCATTGATGTTCCTCTCTCACATCGATGTTTTTCTCTCTTCCTCTCCCTCTCTAAAAAAATAAATAAGTAAATAAATAAATCAAAAATAAAAAATCTTTTTTTAAAAAAGTACTTCATGTTGTTTCCATTGTTCAGAACATTTTTGAGATGTCTTTTAGGAACTAGGCCATGTTTTCAGGATCTTCAATAATACCATGTGTTTTTCTTTTGAGGGTAGATTTGATATTTGAAACAAGAAAAAGAGCATTTAGAATCAAGTTTGATGAATAAAAGTGCATGGATAGGTAAAATACCCAAGTTAAATTATAAAAAGCCAAATTGAAGAATAAGTATGAAAACTTTGAAAAGTCTCAATTATAAGTGCATATCCTTAAATTTCATCAGGCTCACAATTGTAACCAAGGCTGCTCTTTATTCTTTCTGTAAAGGACCGTGCCTGGTGACCAGTATCTAAACACTTGCAGATTAGAGCCTGCTTCTCCAGAGACACTCACGTTTGTATGAGTGTATTGATTTCTGGATTTGTTTATGCCATTTGGGCCTATTATTATAATTATGAAATAATTAAATATTTACTTGAATTATTCAAAACTGAGTGTGGCTCAGTGTTTAGAGCTTTGGCCTTTGCACCAAGGGGTATTGGATTCGATTCCCAGTCAAGAGCATGTACCTAGGTTGCAGGTTCGATCCCTGGCCCTGGTTGGAGTGTGTGCAGGAAGCAGCCAATCTATGTGTCTCTCTCACTTTGATATCTATCTATCTCGCTCTCTCTCTCTCTCCCGCCCTCCCTCCCTTCCACTCATTCTAAAAACCAATGGAAAAAATATCCTCAGGTGAGGATTAACAACAATGGAAAAAACAGCTGAGTTTGAAGAAAGAATTGTTTCTGTAAAAACTAAGTTAATTGAAACAATTTGGTTGGCAAGTTAATAAAATCAGTGTTGAATTACATTTGGATGGAATAATTATAAAAATTGGGGATATCATATAAATATGAAAGTATTCTGTACCCTAATTGTTTCAGAAGTTCCTGAGTTTTTGGTGTACTTTTTTTTAAATTTCAGGGTTCATGATATTTGATAGATAGATAGATAGATAGATAGATAGATAGATAGATAGATAGATAGATACTTTTTAACCAGAACAACTTGGAAATCATAGAGGGTTGTTTTATGAGTGTGGTTTAAACAAAAGAGAAAGTGCAGAATTTTGGTACCTCTATTGAAAGAAAAGGCCTTCACAACTGTATGCATGTTTGTGTTTTAAATTAAACATTTTAATAATTTTATTTTTTAATGATGTCCCTCTCCATCTGACTAAGCACCAATCCCAGTAAATCTAGGAATTTCTTCTATATTTATTTAATACAGTATTCCTTTCAAACATAAAATCTAGTTTAAACACAGACTATTATTTGACATGAGAGTGAAGCACAGTAATGGTTACAGCATTAATGCAGTTTCTTAGTGTTAGCTACTTTTTTTTATTAACATCACCTATGTGACTTATGTGCCTGTTACAACTGGTTGTGGATAAAAATGCTCAGCTTTATGAAACAAATGTGAATAAGATCTGCTTTTATTTTTTAGCTCAATTGCATCTCTGAAAACTCTTGATTCTCATTCATATGCTTAAATAAGGAGGTTGTGTTTTTCTTGTGCCTTCTTGAAGGTGTGATCCTTATTTCCCTGGCACTATGTGCTGATGCTGTTATTGGAAATGTTCAAGAAAAGGCTATGAAACTGCATAACGCCTCTAACTCAGAAATGGTAAATATTCTAGTGTTTTTTTTCTTCACAACACGCAGACTAAAAATGGTGATATATTTAACTTTATGAAATAGTTATGGTATTGAAGACTGGCGTTGCATTTTAAAACTGGTTTATCGTTGCCCTAGCTGGTTTGACTCAGTGAATAGAACATCAGCCCTCAGGTTTAATTCTGGTGAAGGACACATGCCTGGGTTGCAGCCTCCATCCCCAATAGAGGGCTTGCAGGAGACGGCCAATCAATGACTCTCTCTCATCATTGATGTTTCTCTCGCTCTCTTTTCTTCTCTGAAATCATTAAAAATATATGTTTTAAAAAACCAAAAAACTAGTTTATCATTATTTTCATAAAAGTAATGCATTCAAAGATAGGAAGGTAAAAAATAAAAATGCTACTACCACTGCTAATAGCTAATGGTATGGTATTTGATAGATTTTTCTTCAGTGATTTATACTTTTTACATATTAAAAAGGTCCTTTGATACATCATTTTTCTCCTATCTTTGTATTTGCTATTATTTTCCATTTAGAAGTTTGTAATTTTTATGTGATCAGGTTTATCTTTTCCTCATGGCTTTTGGCTATATATTATGATTGAAACAGGCTTTCCTAACACTAAGATTTAAGAATTTTACTCAAGTTGCCTATTAATTTTATGATTTTCTTTTTTAAAAAATATAAATAGATAAATATAAATATAAATATATATATATTATTGATTTCAGAGAGAGGAAGGGGGAGGGAAAGGGAGAGAAAGATAGAAACATCAATGATGAGAGAGAATCCATTGATTGGCTGCCTCCTGCACGCCCCCAACTGGGGATAGAGCCCACAACCCGGGCATATGCCCTTCACCAGAATCAAACCTGGAACCCTTCAGTCCACAGGCCAATGCTCTATCCACTGAGCCAGACCAGCTAGGCTATGATTTTCTTTTTTATTAAATCTTTGATTCACCCAAAACTTTAAAATTTTTCTTCCATATGGTTGTTCACTCATCCCAATATCATGTACCGAATAATCCACTTTTTTAGCTTATTTTAAGTGCCTTCTTTATTACTTCATATTCTAACTTAGCATCCAGAATTATATTCTTTTATATTTATTTCTGCACCAGAACCATATGATGACAGTAGTTTTATCCAACATTTACCATCTATTAGGACTAGCCACCATTGTTCCTTTTGTTTTTCAGAATATTACTATCAATAGTTATTCTTGGGTATTCATGTCCCCAAATAAAGTAGAAATGTCATTGGTTTTATGATTGGTATGGCATTGAATTATAAATTAAATTAGGAAGAATGGAATCTGTGCCCTTAATTCTTTCAATCCAAGAATTAAAGTATGAGTTTCCTTTTCAAGTTTTTTTTTAAATGTCCCTTAGTGTCTAAAGTTTTCTTCATATAAATCTAGCATATTTCTTTTGAAGTTAATGTTAGATGTTTCACCTTTTTGCCATCGTTACTGCAAATAATGCCTTTTCTTCCAATGTATCTTCTAACTGGTCAGTATTTGTATATAGGAAAGTTATGAGGGGTGTGTGTGTGTGTGTGTGTGTGTGTGTGTGTGTGTGTGTGTGTGTTTACATTCATTTTATAGCCAGCCAACTTGCTAGAGAGACAGAGCAGACTGCATAAAGGAGTTACAGGACTGGCCTTTCCTGTTTCTTTGTCAGTGTAGTGGGATGCTCTAAGTCTCTAGGAACATAGGAACTTTAATCTTGTCATCATTTCCTTGATCATCATCATCACTAGTCCTAGATAAGGTTAAGAAAAAATAATTAAGAAAGTGTAAGTAATCAGAAAGTTAATGTAGTACAGTGGTTATGACCATAGGCCCTGGTCTAAGATGGCTTCAGTTCATATCCTATTTTTCCTAGCCCTCTTGTTTGGGGAAGATGACAATATATGTTTCTTCATCTGCAAATTGGGAAATGATGATTAAAAGTACTCACGTCATACGTTGGTTGCTAGAATAAATATAATAATTAATATAGGGCATTAGTAGTACATAACAGTTATTTAAGTTTGTTTCTGTTTCTGTTTATGAGGAGTGTAATACACTGGGATAGAAAGGTTGGTAGAAAAATTGAGAAATTAAGCAATAAATATGCAGTATACTGCTTATTTTTGTTATATTTTAATGTCTTTGCAAACTTAACGTTTGGGTTTTTTCATGTTAATAAGTAGCTATAAAGATTTTTTGTTGTGCTTGTGTATTTTTTAGAATCCCAACATTCAAATCTGGTTTGACTTTAGTAATTAAACCAGTCAAAAAATGAATAATTATGGAACTGTTGTAGGCTGCAAGAAAGGCACCGGGTGTTAGGCCAGTGGAGTCAGGCCGGACCTGGGTTCAGCAACCTTGGTACTTGGGGTCTGGCTGGACAAAGATCCAAACTGTAAGAGAACATCTATATGTAAAAGGCTAATAATGCTAAGTGTCTGACCATTCGACTGGTAGCTATGATGCATACTGACCATCAGGGAGAAGATGCTCAGTGGACAGGCATGGAAACATGGAACAGACTGATGAATCTCAGAGAGAAAGGGGGAGGTGAAGGCGGGAAGAGATTAACCAAAGATTTTATATGCATACTAGAGGCCTGGTGCACGGATCCATGCACAGGCGGGGTCCCTCATCCTGACCTGTGGGGATTGGGCTGAATCCGTGCACTGGGCCTCTGACATCCCCCGAGGGGTCCTGAATTGCAAGAGGGTGCAGGCCAGGTCGAGGGACCCCACCGGCACATGAATCCCTGCACTGGGCCTCTAGTTTATTTATAAAGTCACAGAGGTAGAAGAAGTAATTTGTAAAAGAAATAGGCTTAGGAAACAAGTTATAAAGGTAAAGGAAGGGCCGTTGGAGCTTCGGAGTGAAAAAAGGTAATGGTAACATGCCTGGGGGGAGAGTGAGGGAGGGGAAAAGCTCACTGGGTCCTCAGTGCTAAAGGATTTAGGGGAGGTTCCAGGAGAAGATCTCATAGAATATTCAGCAGCTTTCCAAGTGGGTCCTTTCAGGGTCTAGGTCTCCACTAATTGATTGGTGTGCACACGGGCAGGGGGTTATTAGTCAGTGCAGCCGGTTGGTCCTGAGGTCAGCCGCGTGTCCCTTGACTGGTTTTGCTGCTTTTCTGGGCCAGGAGCTGAAATACAATTGAGGCCTGGATGTTATGTCTAGGAAGAAAGGTCAGGAAATCCAACTGAAAGGTCACCCTGGAGGTGAGGGCCCACCCTACAGTTGTCCTTTTCTAGGCACCTGGCGCTTTCCACCCCAGTGACCTTCTGTACCTGGCCCATCATCCTTGCTCTGCTCACGTCTAACTGCCTGCCACAGAACCATATATGAAAGGGTTAGTACTCCTGTGTTATATTGCACATAAAATAAAGCGTAGACTTTTAAAGAGGATCAGCCATCATTTCCAGAAAGTTAAGCCATATTGAAACAATGATGTTACTTTAAAAATGGTTTGTTCTACAAATTTAATTTAATAGATTAATTGAGCCACGTGTTGAAAATCCTTCATTTTCTACCTTTGGTTTAATATCACTTTTTTTCATTTTATTTTTGTCTACTCTAGGTTTTGTATTCGTATTCAATCGGTTTTGTGTACATTTTATTGGGATTGACATGCACTAGTGGATTAGGCCCTGCAGTAACATTTTGTTCAAAGGTAAACACTAAACACATTTTTAAAAATAAACATC